TCTTTGCCACCCTTGGCCCAAATAAAACAGGAAACAAATTAATTCAAAGGGACAGTGTCAACGCTTCTAAAAATAAGTTACCATAATTCAGCTTTTAGTTTCTATGCCTAGTGAAGGATCACCTCTAAGACCCCAAAATGAAAGTTTAAGTAGATCTAGACAGCTTTCTCACATTCAGACAAGGAATTCAGTAATGTCTCAAAGTCACAAGGAAACACTTTCCTCCCAATAAAGTTTTCATTTGGATAAAATAATCAGGAACAATAGGAAAGTGAGTGAAATGAAAAATATAAAGGGAAAACCTCTTTCTGTCAAACTGACCATTACAATGTCCCTAACTCCTTAATACTCCTTTTTCCCCAAGCCAAAATGTTCTTAGAAAAACAAATCAATGCTTTACAGTCCATAAACATTAAGTACTTATGAAGATAAATGGTCAGACACCAGGGTAGAGACTTTTCAGTTATTCATTAGATTAGCAAAGTTCATGAAAGTTGGCTTGAAAAATGTATTTTTAACTGATTCTCTTCCAATGTGCATAGCATCTCTGTGAAACATCTGTTTTCTATCTCCAACATTTCAGAATCAGCAAACCTGTAACAAAATTTGAACCCAACATTTTCCCACTGTCCTCATTTTCTGTATCATTTTGTCATCATCATCATTTTGTGCATCTGAATGTGTTGGTAAAGCAGAAGGCAGAAAGACTGTGACTATGAAATTAAAGACTAACATTATCTCTCTGTGTGTAGGACACTCCTTGGATGTATGTATAAAACAGAGCGTGAGTTTAATTATGAGTTCAATGAATCTGCAAAACCAGTTGTTCAAACAGAATAATCCATCTTGCAAACTAGTGTACTGATCCTCCTTCTCTGAGGGAGTCCTAGATAATCATTTAACCCTTCTTCAGATACCAGATGGAGCCTGGTGGCACAGTGGTTAAACATTCCACTGACTATCCCAAACCTACAGTTGCCCTTTGGGAAAAGATGTGGGATTCTGCTTTTACAACAATTACAGCCAAGAAAACCCAATGCAGTGGTTCTACGCGGTCTTACAGGGTCATTCTGAGTTGGAATCAATTTGACAGCAATGGTTTTTGTTTTCTGGTTTTGCTCAGATAGCAGAAGTGAGCTATAAGAAAGCCTCTCCAGACTAAAACCAAGATCATTACTGAATCATAGCAAGCAAGGAAGCCAGAGAGGGGAAAAATAACTCTTCTCTCCCAGGATTTCTGAAGCTACTCCAAGAACTTTCCTTCTCCCACTGCCAGTAGCACCCATCAATTCCCATAGTAACCAGCCCACTGATTTCCAGCTAGTCCAAGAGGGAGGCATGCTTGCTGCAGACAAAGAGCAAGAAAGCAAAACCCAAAACTCCAGCCCATTCAATAGTTACTTAGCAGAAGCTTAAGCATTCCCATTTTACCTCCCTCCTTCCCTTAATTACCAGGTTACTAGATGGTTCCTTCCTATCTCTCTTCAAGTTGAGGATGAAACAACAAACAACACTTCCCTATACTTCCAAGGCTCTTCATAACATAATCTGTGTCCCAGTGCAATTTTGCTTCTTGTCGTTTTTGGTGCTAAAAATCACTATATTTCCTTAACTCTCACCGACTGTGTATCATCATCCAACACCATATAAAAAATTAAAAGAAACTCTGGTTTAATAAATCAACATTTCCAACCGAAAAAAAAAAAAAAGAAAGAAACTCTAGTTCGAAAATAATATGACTGGGGTAAGAATGTATTCCTTAACAGAGTAGTCTGTAGGGTGTTGTGCTATTAACCCAAAGGGGAGCATTTCTCTGGCAACTAGAATACATCAGTGGTTCTGCAGGAGAGACAAGTAATGTCCTCTGGTGCAATTTACAGCCTTGGACGCCCAATACAGGATCAGCTAAGAGTCAATCTGGATTCTGAGTAAATAACAGGAAGAGAGGGAGCACGTGAGAAAGCAGGGACAAGGGGAACTGGAGAGTAAAGAACCCAGAAATGGACAGAAGTTGTACTCCCAAAGGAATGATGAGGAGATAAATGGTATACTCCAGGAAGCAGAGACAGTCTTATCTTTGTGAAGAACAGGTCACCTTGTGCTGGGAAAGCAAAAGGAAGAAATGAGAGCCCTTCAGCAAAATGAGAGTGTTTCTGTTGCTAACACAATCATCAGAGACACTGCAATCAAGAATCATGGCTCATTACAGCATCTTTCAGCAGAGAAAAGGGAAATGATCAGAGTTGAGAGGAGATGCACGGTAACAACTTAAGAAGTTTGAAAAGAAAATAAACCTAGTTAATTGCTACAGCTCTGTTTACCTACAGAATATGCTTAAGATATTTTTTTAAAACTAAAAAGAGAAGGACATTAAAAGTACTCAGCACTTGCTGTAAGCCAATTCTGGAAGGTTTCACATCTTAAACAGAATGCAATGGCTGAAATGAAAGGAAAAAAGAAAGTACTTCAAAAAGGTAGTATATCAGTCACTGCCCAGGGAGACTCTACCTAGTTGTTGTTGTTATGTTATTGTTATGTGCCATCAAGTGGCCTGCGACTCATAGCGACCCTATGTACAACAGCCCTAAACCCTGCTCTACCTTATGCCAATCTCACTGTCTCCGACACACCCACACCGATTACCCCAGTCACTGAATCGATCCACCTCATAGAGGGTCTTTCCTTCTTGTGCTGTCCCTCCATCCTCCCAAGCATGACATCCCTCTCCAAGGACTGATTCCACCTTGCAATATGTCCAAAGTATGTCAGACGAAGCTTCAGAATCCTTGCCTCCAAGGAGCAGCCTGGCTTCATCCTCTCCAGGAAGAATTTGTTTGTTTTCCTAGTAG